CGTGGTTTCGAATTCCACTTCTGACAATGTATTTCTTTCAGTCATTTTTTGAGTTTTAAAAAACTACATGCAAGGGAAAGATATTCAGCGTGTCAGGATGGCCGAGCGGTCTAAGGCGCTGCGCTCAGGTCGCAGTCCGCTTGTGTAAGCGTGGTTTCGAATCCCTCTTCTGACAATGTATTTTTATTCAGTCATTTTTTGAGTTTAAAGAACTAAATGCAAGGGAAAGCTATTTTGCCTTTCAGGATGGTTGAACGGTTTAAGGCACTGCAATCAGGTCGTAGTCCACTTGCGTGGGTTCGAAACCCACTTCTTACAATGTATTTCTTTCAGTCATTTTTTGAGGTTAAAAACTACATGCAAGGGAAAGCTATTTTACGTGTCAGGATGGCCGAGCGGTCTAAGGCGCTGCGTTCAGGTCGCAGTCCACTTCTGTGGGCGTGGGTTCGAATCCCACTTCTGACAATAAAATTTTATTCAGTCATTTTTTTAGGTTCCAAAACTAAATGCAAAGGGAAAATATTTTACGTGTCAGATGGCCGAGCGATCTAAGGCGCTGTTTTTATCACATCGCTAAATTGCGTTTGGGGGGTCCAACTCCCACGTCGATAATGTAATTTTTTGAGTCATTATTTTTTAGTTCTTCATAAACTAAATGTAAGGAAACGTTTTTCATAGGTTAAGATTTCCAAGTGGTCAAAGCGCTGCGTTTAGGTCGCAGTAAAATTCGGTGCAGGCGTGGTTTCGAATTCCACGTTTGGCAATGTAATAATTGAGTCATTCATTTTTTTAGTTTTCATTAATTAAATGTAAGGCAAAAGATTCATAGGTTAAGATGGCCTGAGTGGTCTAAGGCGCTGCGTTCAGGTCACAGTAAAATTTGCAGGCGTAGTTTCAAATTCCACATTTGACAATATATTTCCTTCATTCATTTTTTAAGTTCAAAATTAAATGCAAGGGAAACACTTTCCCACGTGTCAGGATGGCCGAGCGGTCTAAGGCGCTGCGTTCAGGTCGCAGTCCACTTCTGTGGGCGTGGGTTCGAATCCCACTCCCTGACAATAAAATTCTTTTCACATACTTTTTAGGTTTAAAACTAAATGTAAGGGAAAAAATTTTCAGCATGTCAGGATGGCCGAGCGGTTTAAGGCGCTGCGTTCAGGTCGCAGTCCACTTCTGTGGGCGTGGGTTCAATCCCACTTCTGACAATAAAATTTTATTCAGTCATTTTTTTTAGTTCTCATAACTTAAATGTGAAACGCTCTCGCACGTGTCAGGATGGCCGAGCGGTCTAAGGCGCTGCAATCAGGTCGCAGTACACTTGCGTGTTCGTGGGTCCAACTCCCACGTCGAGCAATTATATTTAGTTGAGTTATTTTTTTAGTTCTCATAAACTAAATTAAAGGCAAAAACGTTTTCTCAAATTTCAAATGGCCAAGCGGTCAAAGGCGCTGCGTTCATGTCGAAGTCCACTCGGTTTTGGCGTGGGTTCCGAATCCCACTTCTGATAATGTAATTTTATTCAGTCATTATTTTTTTAGTTCTCATAAACTAAATGTAAGGAAATTTCTTTCACACGGTTCAGATGGCCGAGTGGTCTAAAGCGCTGCGTTTAGGTCGCAGTAAAATTCTGCAGGCGTGGTTTCGGATTCCACGTTTGACAATTATATTTCATTCATTCATTTTTTAAGTTCTCATTAATTAAATGAAAGGGAAACACTCTCCCACGTGTCAGGATGGTTGAGCGGATCTAAGGCGCTGCGTTCAGGTCGCAGTCCGGTGTGGGCGTGGGTTCGAATCCCGTTTGACAATGTATTTTATTCAGTCATTTTTTGAGGTTAAAAAACTACATGCAAGGGAAAGCTATTTTACGTGTCAGGATGGCCGAGCGGTTTAAGGCGCTGCGTTCAGGTCGCAGTCCACTTGCGTGTTCGTGGGTTCGAATCCCACTTCTGACAATGTATTTTTATTTACATACTTTTCTTAGGTTTAAAAACTACATGCAAGGAAAGCTATTCTCACATGTCAGGATGGCTGAGCGGTGTAAGGCGCTGCGTTCAGGTCGCATTACACTTCTGCGGGCGTGGGTTCGAATTCCCACTTCTGACAGTAAAATTTTATTCAGTCTTTTTGTTTTTAGTTCTCATAACTTAAATGTAAGGAAACGCTCTCGCACGTGTCAGGATGGCCGAGCGGTCTAAGGCGCTTTAATCAGGTCGCAGTCCAACTTGTGTGGGCGTGGGTTTGAATCCCACTTCCGGACAATGTATTTCTTTGTCATTTTTTGAGGTTAAAAAAACTTTATGCAAGGGAAAGCTATTTTGCGTGTTAGGATGGCCGAGTGGTGTAAGGCGCTGCGTTCAGGTCGCAGTCCACTTCTGTGGGCGTGTCTGAATCCCACTTCTGACAATGTATTTCTATTCAGTCATTTTTTGAGGTTAAAGAACTAAATGCAAGGGAAAGCTATTTTGCGTGTTAGGGTGGCCGAGCGGTCTACGGCGCTGCGTTCATGTCGCAGTCCACTTTTGTGGGCGTGGGTTCGAATCCCACTTCTGACAATAAAATTTTATTCACATACTTTTCTTAGGTTCCAAAAACTAAATGTAAGGGAAAACTCTTTCACATGTCAGGATGGCTGATCGGTGTAAGGCGCTGCGTTTAGATCACATTCCACTTCTGTGGGCGTGGGTTCGAATCCCACTTCTGACAATAAAATTTTTCATTCAGTCATTTTTTTTAGTTCTCATAACATAAATGTAAGGGAAATCGCACGTGTCAGGATGGCCGGAGTGGTCTAAGGCGCTTTAATCAGGTTTACACTTGCGTGTCGGGGGTCCAACTCCCACGTCGAGCAATTATATTTAGCCGCTATTTTTTTAGTAAAGTAAATTAAAGGGAACGCGAATTTCTGCGTTCAAAGGCGCTGCGTTCATGTCGAAGTCCACTCGGTTTTGGCGTGGGTTCGAATCCCACTTCTGATAATGTAATTTTATTCACAATTATTTTTTTAGGTTAAAAACTAAATGTAATGGAAACTCTTTCACAGGTTAAGATGGCTGAGCGGTCTAAAGCGCGCGTTTAAGTCGCATTAAAATTCTGCAGGCGTGGGTTCGGATTCCCACTTCTGACAATAGGTTTATTCAGTCGTTTTGTTTTTAAGTTCTCATTAATTAAATGAAAGGAAACGCTCTCCCATGTGTCAGGATGGCCGAGCGGTCTATGGCGCTGCAATTTGAGGTCGTGTCCGCTGCGTGGGCGTGGGTTTGAATGCCACTTCGGACATTGTATTTCTTTGTCATTTTTTGAGATTTAAAAAACTATATGGAAGAGAAAGCTGTTATGCGTGTCAGGATGGCCGATCGGTCTAGGCGCTGCGTTTTTATCACATTCCCTTCTGTGGACGTGGGTTGGAATCCCACTTCTGACAATGTATTTCTTTCAGTCATTATTTTAGTTTTTACTAACTAAATGCAAAGGGCAAAGATATTTTGCGTGTTAAGATTCCATGAGCGTCTACGGCGCTGCGTTTTAGTCGCAGTCCACTTCTGTGGGCGTGGGTTCGAATCCCCACTTCTGACAATAACCATTCATTCATTTTTTTAGTTCCAAAATTAAATGAAAGGAAACACTCTCCCACGTGTCAAGATGGCTGATCGGTCTAAGACGCAGCGTTTAGGTACATTCCACTTCTGTGGGCGTGGGTTCGAATCCCACTCCTGACAATAAAATTTTATTCAGTCTTTTTTTTTTTAGTTCTCATAACTTAAATGTAAGGAAACGCTATCGCATGTGTCAGGATGGTTTAGCGGTCTCTGGAAGGCGTTGCGTTCAGGTCGCAGTCCACTAGGTTTGGGCGTGGGTTGAATCCCCACTTCTGTTAATAAAATTTTATTCGCATATCTTTTTAGGTTCCAAAAACTAAATGTAAGGGAAAACTCTTTCTCATGTCAGGATGGCCATCGGTCTAAAGCGCTGCGTTTTGATCATATTCCAATTCCGCGGGCGTGGGTTCGGATCCCACATCTGACAATTATATTTCATTCAGTCATTTTTTTAGTTCTCATAAAATTAAATGAGAAGGGTAACACTCTCCCACGCGTCAGGATGGCCGAGCGGTCTAAGGCGCTGCGTTCAGGTCGCAGTCCCACTTGTGTGGGCGTGGGTTCGAATCCCACTTCGGACAATGTATTTCTATTCAGTCATTTTTTGAGGTTAAAAACTAAATGCAAGAGGAAAGATATTTTTGCACGTGTCAGGATAACCGAGTGGTTTAAGGCGCTTCGTTCAGGTCGCAGTCCACTTCTGTGGGCGTTGGTTCGAACCATTTCTGACAATAAAATTTTATTCACATCATTTTTAGGTTCCAAAACATTAAATGTAAGGGAAAACACTTTTGCTTGTTAGGATGGCCGATCGATCTAAGCCGCTGCGCCGCAGTCTATTTCTGTTGGGTTTATCACATTCCTAAATGTAAGGAAAACTCTTTCACATGTCAGGTGGGCGTCCCTGAGCGCGCGTTTCGAATCCTTCTTGGGCGTGGGTTGATAATGTGACAGAATTTATTCAGTCATTTTTTTTTAGTTTTATAAACTAAATGTAAGGCAAAGATCTTTCATAGGTTAAGATTTCAGAGCGGTCTAAAGCGCTGCGTTTAGGTCGTAGTAAAATTCTGCAGGCGTGGTTTCGGATACCACGTTTGGCAATTATATTTAATTCATTCATTTTTTTAGTTCTCATTAATTAAAATGAAAGGAAACACACTCCCACGTGTCAGGATGGCCGAGCGGTCTAAGGCGCTGCGTTCAGGTCGAAGTCCACTGCGGGCGGTTTTGACAATGTATTTCTTTCAGTCATTTTTTGGTTGTTGCAAGGGAAAGCTTATTTTGCGTGTCCCACTTGCGTTCAGGTCGACACTCTCGTGGGCGTGGGTCTGAAATTTATTCAATAAAATTTATTCACATACTTTCTTAGGTTCCAAAAACTAAATGTAAGGGAAAACTCTTTCACATGTCAGGATGGCCGATCGGTCTAAGGCGCTGCGTTTTGATCATATTCCCCTTCTGTGGGCGTGGGTTCGAATCCCTACTTCTGACAATACAATTTTATTCAGTCATTTTTTTTAGTTCTCATAACTTAAATGTATGAAATGCTCTCGCACGTGTGAGGAAAGCCGAGTGTTCTAAGGCGCTGCAATCAGGGTCGCCGTACACTTGCGTGTTCGTGGGTCCAACCCACGTCGAGCAATTATATTTAGTTGAGTTATTTTTTTATTCTCATAAAGTAAATTAAAGGGTTACGTTTTCTCAAATTTTTGGATGGCCAAGCGGTCAAAGGCGCTGCGTTCATGTCGAAGTCCACACGGTTTTGGCGTGGGTTTGAATCCCACTTCTGATAATGTAATTTTATTAAGTCATTATTTTTTAGTTTTCATAAACTAAATGTAATGAAAAGATCTCACGGAGTTAAGATTTCTGAGCGGTCTAAAGCGCTGCGTTTAAGTCGCAGTAAAATTCTGCAGGCGTGGTTTCGGATTCCACGTTTTATAAAGTATATTTCATTCATTCATTTTTTTAAGTTCTCATTAATTAATGAAAGAAACACTCTCCCACGTGTAAGGATGGCCGAGCGGTCTAAGGCGCTGCGTTCAGGTCGCAGTCCACTTCTGTTGGGCGTGGGTTCGAATCCCACATTTGACAACGAATTACTTTCAGTCAATTTTTTGAGGTTAAAAACTTAATGCAAGGGGAAACACTTTCACACATGTCAGGATGGCCGATCGGTCTAAGGCGCTGCGTTCAGGTCGCAGTCCACTTGTGTGGGCGTGGGTTCGAATCCCACTTCTGACAATGTATTTTTATTCAGTCATTTTTTTTTGAGGTTAAAGAACTTAAATGCAAGGACAATGCTCTTTCATGTGTCAGGAAGGGCCAGAGTGGTCCTAAGGGCTGCAATCAGGTCGTCCAATTTGCGTTCGTGGGTTTGAATCCCACTTCGGGCAATGCTTTGTTCGAAATTTAAAAACTACATGCAAGGGAAAGCTATTCTGCGTGTCACGATGGCCGAGCGGTCTAATGTGCTGCAATTAGTCCATTTAGTTGAATCCCACTTCTGACAATTATTTTTTTTTGAGGTTAAAAACTACATGCAAGGGAAAGCTAAATGTCAGGGTGGCCGAAACCTTTTCTAAAGTCCACTTCTGTGGGCGCGGGTTCGAATCCCATAACAATAAAAATTTTATTCAGTACTTTTCTTAGGTTCCAAACACTAAAATGTAACGAAACGCTCTCTTTCATGTCAGGATGGCCGTCCTAAGGCGCTGCGTTTAGATCACATTCCGGTTCTGTGGGCGTGGGTTCGAATCCCACTTCTGACAATAAAATTTTATTCAGTCATTTTTTTTTTTTAACTTAAATGTTTTCGCACGTCAAGCCGAATTTAAGGCGCTGCAATCAGGTCGCAGTTTTGCGTGTTCGCGGGTCAAACTCCCACGTCGAGCAATTATATTTAGTTGAGTTTTTTTTTAGTTCTCATAAAGTAAAATTAAAGGTCACGTTTTTTAAATTTTTGGATGGCCAAGCGGTCTAAGGCGCTGCGTTCAGGTCGCAGTCCACTTGTTTGGGCGTGGGTTCGAATCCCACTTCTGACAATGTATTTTATTCAGTCATTTTTTTGAGTTTAAAAACTAAATGCAAGGGAGAGATTTTTGCGTGTCAGGATTCGAGCGGTCTAAAAGCGCTGCGTTCAGGTTCAGTCCACTTCTGTGGGCGTGGGTTCGAATCCCATTTGACAATAAAATTTTATTCACATTTTTACTAAGTTCTCAAAATTAAATGTAAGGAAACACTCTTTCACGTGTCAGGATGGCCGATCGGTCTAAGGCGCTGCGTTTAGATCACATTCCACTTCTGTGGGCGTGGGTTCGAATCCCCACTTCTGACAATAAAATTTCTATTCAGTCATTTTTTAGTTCTCATAACTAAATGCAAGGGAAACGCTCTCGCATGTGTCAGGAGGAACGAGCGGTTTAAGGCGCGCTGCGTTCAGGTCGCAGTCCACTTGCGTGGCGTGGGTTCGAATCCCACTTCTGACAATGTATTTCTATTCAGTCATTTTTTGAGGTTAAAGAACTAAATGCAAGGGAAAGCTATTCTGCGTGTCAGGATGGCCGAGCGGTCTAAGGCGCTGCGTTCAGGTCGCAGTCCACTTCTGTGGGCGTGGGTTCGAATTCCACTTCTGACAATAAAATTTTATTCAGTCTTTTTTTTTTTAGTTCTCATAACTTAAATGTAAGAAAATGCTCTCGCACGTGTCAGGATGGCCGAGCGGTCTAAGGCGCTGCAATCAGGTCGCAGTATGCTTGCGTGTTCGGGGGTCCAACCCCCATGTCGAGCAATTATATTTAGTTATTTTTTTTAGTTCTCATAAAGTAAATTAAAGGTTACGTTTACTGAAATTTCAGGATGGCCAAGCGGTCAAAGGAATTGCGTTCATGTCGAAGTCCACCCGGTTTTGGCGTGGGTTCGAATCCCACTTCTGATAATGTAATTTTATTGAGTCATTATTTTTTTAGTTTTCATAAACTAAATGTAAGGCAAAGATTTTTCATAGGTTAAGATTCCTGAGTGGTCTAAAGCGCTGCGTTCAGGTCGCAGTAAAATTCTGCAGGCGTTGTTTCGGATTCCACATTTGACAATTATATTTCATTCATTCATTTTTTTTTAATTTCTCATTAATTAAATGAAAGGAAACACTCTCCCACGTGTAAGAATGGCCGAGCGGTCTAAGGCGCTGCGTTCAGGTCGCAGTCCACTTGTGTGGGCGTGGGTTCGAATCCCACATCTGACAATGTATTTTATTCAGTTATTTTTTTGAAGTTAAAGAGCTAAATGCAAGGGAAAGCTATTTTGCGTGTCAGGTTGGACGAGCGCTTTAAGGCGCTGCAATCAGGTCCTAGTCCACTTATGTGGGTTCGAATCCCACTTTTGACAATGTATTTCTTTCAGTCATTTTTTGAGTTTAAAAACTACATGCAAGGGAAAGTTAATTTGCGTGTCAGGATGGCCGAGCGGTCTAAGGCGCTGCGTTCAGGTGTGAAGTCCACTCGGTTTTGGCGTGGGTTCGAATCCCACTTCTGACAATAAAATTTTATTCACACATATTTACTTAGGTTCCAAACACTAAATGTAAGGAAACTCTTTCACATGTCAGGATGACTGATCGGTCTAAGGCGCTGCGTTTTGATCATGTTCCACTTCTGTGGGCGTGGGTTCGAATTCCACCCTGACAATAAAATTTTATTCAGTCATTTTTCTAGTTCTCATTAATTAAATGAAAGGAAACACTCTCCCACGTGTAAGAATGGCCGAGCGGTCTAAGGCGCTGCGTTCAGGTCGCAGTCCACTTGTGTGGGCGTGGGTTCGAATCCCACTTCTGACAATGTATTTCTATTCAGTCATTTTTTGAGGTTAAAGAACTAAAAGCAAGGGAAAGCTTTTCTGCGTGTCAGGATGGCCGAAAGGTCTAAGGTTGCTGCAATCAGGTCCTAGTCCTCTTGCGTGGGTTCGAATCCCACTTCTGACAATATATTTCTTTCAGTCATTTTTTGAGGTTAAAAACTACATGCAAGGGAAAGATATTTTGTGTCAGGATGGCCGAGCGGTCTAAGGCGCTGCGTTCAGGTCGCAGTCCACTTCTGTGGGCGTGGGTTCGAATTCCACTTCTGACAATAAAATTTTATTCAGTCTTTTTTTTTTAGTTCTCATAATTAAATGTAAGAAAATGCTCTCGCACGTGTCAGGATGGCCGAGCGGTCAATTTGCTGCAATCATTTCTTTGTCATTTTTTGTCGCAGTATGCTTGCGTGTTCGGGGGTTCGAATCCCACTTCTGACAATGTATTTCTATTCAGTCATTTTTTGAGTTTAAAAAAAACTACATGCAAAGGAAAGCTATTCTGTGTGTCAGGGAGGCCGAGCAGTCTACGGCGCTGCGTTCAGGTCGCAGTCCACTTCTGTGGGCGTGGGTTCGAATCCCACTTCTGACAATAAAATTTTATTCACATACTTTTCTTATGTTCCAAACACTAAATGTAAGGAAACTCTTTCACATGTCAGGATGGCCGATCGGTCTAAGGCCCTGCGTTTAGATCACATTCCCCTTCTGTCGGCGTTGGTTCGAATCCCACTTCTGACAATAGAATTTTATTCAGTCATTTTTTTTTAGTTCTCAACTTAAATGTAAGACAATGCTCTCGCACGTGTCAGGAAAGCCGAGTGGTCTAAGGCGCTGCAATCAGGTCGCAGTACACTTGCGCGTTCGCGGGTCAAACTCCCACGTCGAGCAATTATATTTAGTTGAGTTATTTTTTTTAGTTGTCATAAAGTAAATTAAAGGAAACGTTTTCTAAAATTTTTTGGATGGCCAAGCGGTCATAGGCGCTGCGTTCATGTCGAAGTCCACTCGGTTTTGGCGTGGGTTTGAATCCCACTTCGGATAATATAATTTTATTGAGTCATTATTTTTTTAGTTTTCATAAGCTAAATTTAAGGCAAAGATCTTTCATAGGTTAAGATTCCTGAGTGGTCTAAAGCGCTGCGTTCAGGTCGCAGTAAAATTCTGCAGGCGTGGTTTCGGATTCCACGTTTTACAATTATATTTCATTCATTCATTTTTTTAAGTTCTCATTAATTAAATGAAAGGAAACACTCTCCCACGTGTCAGGATGGCCGAGCGGTCTAAGGCGCTGCGTTCAGGTCGCAGTCCACTTGTGTGGGCGTGGGTTCGAATCCCACTTCTGACAATGTATTTCTATTCAGTCATTTTTTTGAGGTTAAAGAACTAAATGCAAGGGAAAGCTATTTTGCGTGTCAGGAGGGACGAGAGCTTTAAGGCGCTGCAATCAGGTGCTAGTCCACTTGCGTGGGTTCGTATCCCACTTCTGACAATGTATTTCTATTCAGTCATTTTTTGAGGTTAAAGGACTAAATGCAAGGGGAAGATATTTTGCGTGTTAAGACGGACGAGCGGTTTAAGGCGCTGCGTTCAGTCGCAGTCCATTTCTGTGGGCGTGGGTTCGAATCCCACTTCTAACAATAAAATTTTATTCAGTCATTTTTTTTTTAGTTCTCATAACTTAAATGTAAGGAAACGCTATCGCACGTGTCAGGATGGCCGAGCGGTCTAAGGTGCTGCAATCAGGTCGCAGTACAATTGCGTGTTCGGGGGTCCAACTCCCACGTCGAGCAATTATATTTAGTTAAGATATTTTTTTTAGTTCTCATAAAGTAAATTAAAGGAAATGTTTTCTCAAATTTCAGAATGGCCAAGCGGTCAAAGGCGCTGCGTTCATGTCGAAGTCCACTCGGTTTTGGCGTGGGTTCGAATCCCTCTTCTGTTAATGTAATTTTATTGAGTCATTATTTTTTTAGTTTTCATAAGCTAAATGTAAGGCAAAGATCTTCCAAAGGTTAAGATTCCTGAGCGGTCTAAAGTACTTAGTTTAAGTCGCAGTAAAATTCTGCAGGCGTGGTTTCGGATTCCACGTTTGACAATTATAATTCATTCATTCATTTTTTTAGTTCTCATTAATTAAATGAAAGGAAACACACTCTCCCACGTGTCAGGATGGCCGAGCGGTCTAAGGCGCTGCGTTCAGGTCGCAGTCCACTTCTGTGGGCGTGGGTTCGAATCCCACTTCTGACAATAAAATTTTATTCACATACTTTTCTTAGGTTCCAAAAACTAAATGTAAGGAAAACTCTTTCACATGTCAGGATGGCCGATCGGTCTAAGGCGCTGCGTTTAGATCACATTCCCCTTCTGTCTGCGTGGGTTCGAATCCCACTTCTGACAATAGAATTTTATTCAGTCATTTTTTTAGTTCTCAACTTAAATGTAAGACAATGCTCGCACGTGTCAGGAAAGCCGAGTGGTCTAAGGCGCTGCAATCAGGTCGCAGTACACTTGCGCGTTCGCGGGTCAAACTCCCACGTCGAGCAATTATATTTAGTTGAGTTATTTTTTTTTAGTTGTCATAAAGTAAATTAAAGGAAACGTTTTCTAAAATTTTTTGATGGCCAAGCGGTCATAGGCGCTGCGTTCATGTCGAAGTCCACTCCGTTTTGGCGTGGGTTCGAATCCCACTTCGATAATGTAATTTTATTGAGTCATTATTTTTTTAGTTTTCATAAGCTAAATTTAAGGCAAAGATCTTTCATAGGTTAATATTCCTGAGCGGTCTAAAGCGCTGCGTTCAGGTCGCAGTAAAATTCTGCAGGCGTGGTTTCGGATTCCACGTTTTACAATTATATTTCATTCATTCATTTTTTTAAGTTCTCATTAATTAAATGAAAGGAAACACTCCCCCACGTGTCAGGATGGCCGAGCGGTCTAAGGCGCTGCGTTCAGGTCGCAGTCCACTTGTGTGGTCGTGGGTTCAAATCCCACTTCTGACAGTAAACTTTTATTCACATACTTTTCTTAGGTTCCAAACACTAAATGTAAGGAAACTCTTTCACATGTCAGGAAGGCTGATCGATGTAAGGCGCTGCGTTTAGATCACATTCCACTTCTGTGGGCGTGGGTTCGAATTCCACTTCTGACAATAAAATTTTATTCAGTCTTTTTTTTTTTAGTTCTCATAACTTAAATGTAAGGAAACGCTATCGCATGTGTCAGGATGGTCGAGCGGTCTAAGGCGTTGCGTTCATGTCGAAGTCCACTAGGTTTTGGCGTGGGTTCGAATCCCACTTCTGTTAATGTTATTTTATTGAGTCATTATCTTTTTAGTTTTCATAAACTAAATGTAAGGCGAAGATTTTTCATAGGTTAAGATTCCGTAGTGGTCTAAAGCGCTGCGTTCAGGTCGCTGTAAAATTCCGCAGGCGTTGTTTCGGATTCCACATTTGACAATTATATTTCATTCATTCATTTTTTAAGTTCTCATAAAATTAAATGAAAGGTAACACTCTCCCACGCGTCAGGATGGCCGAGCGGTCTAATACGCTGCGTTCAGGTCGCAGTCCACTTGTGTGGGCGTGAGTTCGAATCCCACTTCGGACAATGTATTTCTATTCAGTCATTTTTTGAGGTTAAAGAACTAAATGCAAGGGGAAGATATTTTGCGTGTCAGGACGGACGAGCGGTTTAAGGCGCTTCAATCAGGTCGTAGTCCACTTCCGTGGGCGTGGGTTCGAATCCCATTTCTGACAATGTATTTCTATTCAGTCATTTTTTGAGGTTAAAAACATTATGCAAGGGAAAGCAATTTTGCGTGTCAGGATGGCCGAGCGGTCTAAGCCGCTGCGTTCAGGTCGCAGTCTATTTCGTGGGCGGGGGTTCGAATCCCACGTCTGACAATAACATTTTATTCACATACTTTTCTTAGGTTCCAAAACTAAATGTAAGGGAAAACTCTTTCACATGTCAGGATGGCCGATCGGTCTAAGGCGCTGCGTTTAGATCACATTCCCGGTTTCTGTGGGCGTGGGTTCGAATCCCACTTGTGACAGTAACATTTTATTCAGTCATTTTTTTTTAGTTCTTATAAACTAAATGTAAGGGAAAGAGATCTTTCACAGGTTAAGATTCCTGAGCGGTCTAAAGCGCTGCGTTTAAGTCGCAGTAAAGTTCTGCAGGCGTGGTTTCGGATACCACGTTTGACAATTATATTTAATTCATTCATTTTTTAAGTTCTCATTAATTAAATGAAATGAAACACACTCCCACGTGTCAGGATGGCCGAGCGGTCTAAGGCGCTGCGTTCATGTCGAAGTCCACTTTTGGGCGTGGGTTCGAATCCCACTTCTGACAATAAAATTTTATTCATACTTTTCTTAGGTTCCAAAACTAAATGTAAGGGAAAACTCTTTCACATGTCAGGATGGCCGATAGGTCTAAGGCGCTGCGTTTAGATCAAATTCCCCTTCTGTGGGCGTGGGTTCGAATCCTACTTCTGACAATAGGGATTTTTTTATTCAGTCATATTTTTTAGTTCTCAACTTAAATGTAAGGAAATGCTCTCGCACGTGAGGAAAGCCGAGTGGTCTAAGCTGGAGCTGCAATCAGGTCGCAGTACACTTTGCGCGTTCGCGGGTCAAACTCCCACGTCGAGCAATTATATTTAGTTGAGTTATTTTTTTAGTTCTCATAAAGTAAATTAAAGGTTACGTTTTCTCAAATTTTTTGGATGGCCAAGCGGTCAAAGGCGCTGCGTTCATGTGGAAGTCCACCCGGTTTTGGCGTGGGTTTGAATCCCACTTCTGATAATGTAATTTTATTGAGTCATTATTTTTTTAGTTTTCATAAACTAAATGTAATGGAAAGATCTTTCACAGGTTAAGATTCCTGAGCGGTCTAAAGCGCTGCGTTTAAGTCGCAGTAAAATTCTGCAGGCGTGGTTTCGGATTCCACGTTTTAAAATTATATTTCATTCATTCATTTTTTTAAGTTCTCATAAATTAAATGAAAGGAAACACTCCCCCACGTGTCAGGATGGCCGAGCGGTCTAAGGCGCTGCGTTCAGGTCGCAGTCCACTTGTGTTCGTGGGTTCGAATCCCACTTCTGACAATAAAATTTTATTC